CCCTTGAAACAACATCTTGTTATAGACTGATGTGAACTTCAGGGCAGGGGACGTGTGTCTTGCCTATCTGTAGGGTACCTAGGAAGCTGCGTGGGCTACAGCAGATAAACAGTAACAATTAGTCAACAGAGTGTTTGAAGCTGAATCCGTGTTTCATTCTACGCAAGCCATCCTTCTGAACAGCTCGGCTCATGTGCTGGCAGGGGATAAAGTAACTGATTATAGCAAGGGATTGCTTATATATGAAGATGATGTAACCCTGGGATTAAGTACAACTCCTTTTCAGGCTCCAAAGCAAACAGATGCCTTTCAGTCGCTTCTCATCTGGCTCCACTTTTTTACATTGACCAGCGGGTGAATTAAGGTGCCCATTTGACAGCACCAAGAACCTGAAATCTGCTCCTTTCTTTTCTTCAGGAAAAAGAAGGAAGGGGGTACAAATTGCTTTCAAAACAGCTCCTCCTTGTAGCTTTTAGGAATATCGTATGGTCAAAGGCTCCTGTCTTCAAACCTCAGGCTACTCTTCACCAGCCATTAATTTTGCCTGCAAGGGTTTGAGTATTTATCTACCCTGCGAACGCAGCATGTGGTGGGATTTTAATCTGGTGGCTCCATTTGAGGCTGCTGGTTACTGCAGGATGCTGTGCTAATCACTGGTTCTCTCATTCCCAGGGCACGTCCATGCTGCAAAGACTGCTACGGCTGGCAGTTCGCACGGAGCAGGCGGCGTGGGCACGCTGGCTTGCTGCTAAGCAACTCTGGAGTATTTATTCAGCTTGTGTCGTGAAGTCTACACTGAGCAGCTGCACGGTATGATTGAAACCAAGCTCATTAGTCTGAAACTGCTCTGGGTGATTGCCAAGGAGACAAAGCAGAGCACCCAGCCCAGCCTCCATGGCCTAGCCTTCCTGCAGAGGACCTGGGGCAGGAGGGATGGGTGGCCTGGTGCCCTACAGCACAGCAGGTAGCATGCAGCACAGCACCCGCGGAAGGATGGCATCGGGCTGGAGTCAGGCAGTTGGGAAAAAGCTGGAGAGCTGCTCTGCCCTGTGCAGCAATACCTTGGTGCCCTGCATCTGACTGCCTGCAGCCTCCCATCTCCTGCGCCTGGCAAGGCTGGGTTTACACCAGTGCTGAAGCTTCAAACCATCTGCGCCTCCACTTCAAAACCACAGGCCTGGCTTGGAGCCGACAGTGCCAGCTCTGGTGGGCCCCCTTTGCTGACAGGCTGGGTGGAGCACTCCTTCACCTACGCTTCCTAGCAGAACAGGATCAAATCCGAGTTTGCCAGTGGGCAGCTATGAAACCCCACAGACTTCACGCTGAAGATTTTGCTACCTGGTGAGGGCCAAGTCTGTCCTGGCTGTGCCCCTGGGTCCACACTGCCTGGTCCAAAGGGGCTATTTGGAATCCTATGGAGAGGCCACAGGAATTTATAGCTGAGCTCCCCACTGCCAAAACAATTCTTACAGCCCTGGCAAACCTTGCGCCAGAAGCACATGGCTGGGAGAACATTTAGGTGTCTGTGTGGGAATGTGCAGGGCTGCCTGGGTATGAGTGTCCCCCGCAGTGGCGTCCATCAAAACCCACTGGATGCAGCCAGTTGGCCTCTGTCTGCCTGGCAAGTCAGGTAGGTGACGTGCCATATCTCAGAGCACTGTGTCAAAAGACACCTTCCTCACACTAGCCGTCAGCCATCAGACACAGCACACGCTTGGCGCTGACTCCTGGCCTGGGACCAGGTATGTACAGAAGCCTGCAGAGGGACCCCGTGCAGGCACATCCATCACAACTGTGGTCCTGCTGTCGGGCAGCAAAGGGTTGCGATGCTGCTGCTGGGTGTGCTGCTGCAAGCCCAAGAGAGGTCAAGAATTGTGTCCCAGGTTGGATGAAGGAAGTGATGAGCAGATATTAAACATCCACTCCACTGGAAGGGCTGTGTTTATAAGTAACCCAGAGGTTGTCTCATTGTGGTTCTGGTGAAAAGTCTCCAAGCTAATGGCAGGGACTGGATCCAAGCTCATCAAATCCAGCCCTGACTTCCCAGGCAAGGGATTTTGGCCACACAGTTGTTTGCAAGGGCAGAAATTTCCCATCATTTCAGTGCGACACATCCAATCCTTTTATTTCGAAGCACTGTCCTACAGATGCAGGTTTCGTTTTGAACAAGATTTTCTCTGGAATTGCTCCCCTTGATACTTTTCCTTGCAAGGAAAGCAAAGTGTTCACACGGGCAGGACTATCTGCTTGGAAAGCACTGGCAGATGTTTCCAGCAGCCATGCCCACCAATTCAGCACTGACAATCCCCCCGGATTTCCAATCACACCAACGCAATAATGTGCCTTATGAGATAATATTTGATGTTTGCTGATCTGGGAGAAGCCACTAGCCTTAAGGTAGCCTGAATCATGCAGTCTTTGTATCCTTGGACGTGCATTTACATTACTCTTAGAAGAACAGAGAGAGATTGGCAGGGATCAAACAGGGTTTAGAGTCTTCTTATTTTGTGAGGTGCAAGTTTTGCAACCTTTTGCTTTTCTTTTTGGGTGCTTTGTCTCCCAAGGCAGAGCTGTAGATAGTGGTTGTCCAGTTAACGGCAATATTGCCTCACTCCTGCCCAGTCTCCTGTACAGAAGCCTCTAAATGTTGTAAAGCCAGGCTTTCTAAGGCCCAGCTCTGGTAAAATCACCTTCTACGTCTACAAAGGAGAAAGTGAGGTATGACTGACTAAACCCAGCATCCAAATCACAGGGAACGTCTGTAGCAAGATGGGAGATGACTCAGACATCTCAAAGCTGAACCCAGCGCTTGAAACCTGGGTTCTACTCCCTACTTCAAACCTGAAGTAGGGAAACAACCCCCACATTTTCACTGAGTAGGGAAGGGGAAAACCCTGCCTAATTCTGCCATTTCAGCTGTGTAAACTAATGAATGTCATTTTAGTGCTTTACAGTGAGTTCTCTTATTGGTTTTGCCTGCACTGCTGGGTGTGACATCACCTGGTAGTTATGTCACTAATGTAACGGAGAAAACATAAAGTGCTCACTTCAGCCTGAAAGTGATTAAAAACATCAAGAGGGCCACACATGGTTATTCAAAGATGACAAACACTCATGCTCATTAATTTGTTTACACCAGGGAAAACAAACATTCAAGAGCAGTCTACTCTCACAGAAAGCCCGAGAAGCACTCCATAACTACTCAGCAAAGTGCCCAAACATTTGCAGATCTTCCAGGAGTCATCAGGTATTTCAGAGCTATAAGCCTGGGTACGTTTTCAGCCAGCTTCCCTTTCACATGAAATTATACTTGCACCCAAGTCAGATCCTTGATAGCACAGCAGAATCACTAAGACCTTAATTTACTTTGGGGCTGAATCATAACACCTACATGGGCTAATTCTGCTCTTGCTTATGCTGACAGGGCCCCAGACGGCATGTCTGGGAGAGGCCTCACCAAAAAGGAACGGAGCTTGCTGTCAGCTGCACCAATACAAACTGCTGCAAGCTGTATCAGCTTCAGTTCAACCGCTCTGGATTTTCCCTAGCATAAATGGAAGTGGCATCTTTCATGCAAATAATGTCAGCTTGTCAAGTCAAAAAAATTGTGGATAGAAGACTCTGATTTCTGTGGGAAATTGCCAGGCATTAGCAATCCATATGTTATGACCTTTTCTCCCAGAAATCAGTATCACACTCAGTGAAGATGGTTTAGCAAATCTTCCCCCTGAGAGAATAAAATATGAAACCTTCTCATTCACAAAAGTTCATTGGTCCTGCATTCAATGCAAAACCTCACAGGGAGCCAAATGTTACAGAACTATGATTCTCCACCAAACAATTACATTGCTGTTGCATGTGCAGTTGAGTTACTCCAAGTCTTCAAGCTGCTACACAGTTACTCATGCTTTGGGCCAAATATATTCCTGAAGCAACTCCAAGCTCCTTGGTGAGTAAACCAACCATGTAAGACATTAATATAACTGACATTTTTCATGAGGAAGTGAATATGGACAGGGGCTCGGGGAGATGTTGAATTTCCACCCTTGGAGATATTAAAAATTGTATTGGTCCCAGACCTGGGCAACTGGGTGTGACCATCTAAATTGCATGGAGTTAGGGGCTGCCTTGTGGTTACCAGAGGGCTTTCAGTTCACCCACGATGTGTACCTTGAACACACACTAGATTTGCAGAGCTCAGGCACAGCTCTCACCCTCCCTTCCCAGCTGCAGGTCCCTGAGTGTCTGCTGGGTGCTTAGAGCTGGACACAGCATGTGAGTGTGCGCTGGCCACTTCAGTGCTCGGCTGCGTACCTCTAGAGAGGGTCGGAGATAACCATCCTGAAATGACTTGGGAAGCACCCAGACATTTAATTCCAGTGAAAAGGAAATCAGTAGCTCTGTAGTATCCTGCTGCCACAGACAGTATCATCCCTGAGAAGTGACATCTCTTCATGGCTTCTGTTTCCAACCATAAGCACACAGTAATGTGCAGAAGTGTGCACGAACCCAGTTTTTACTAAAAATAATGGGAACACTTCTTCCCTCTCACACAACAGCCCAAACCTCATTCCTCAAACTTTGCTTTGTAGAAATGCCCATGAGGTTGAAATGTATGTAGCAAAATGTGCATATGTTTATGTTCAGAGCGCTATTCCAGAATGTAAGATTTTAATGAAGGAGAAGATGCAGAAATATTCCTTACTGTTCATTAGAATTAATTATGTAATGAACTGAAAGCACTTGTGTTATCTAAGAGCAAGACTGTACTGGGCTCTTTGATGGGTATTTCTGCCACTGGACAGTTTTCATACTTAAAACTCTATCAAACCGCATGAACTGCAGCGGCAAACAAAGCTGACAGAGGTGACTGAATTTTTGCTTCTAAGCCATCATAAGTATCTGCCTTCAGTCCCACATATAAAGACAGTCAGAAACTTCAGAGGGACTTCATTTTGCCCTAGGAGCAAATAAATAAATAAATAAAATAGTGTTTGTACCTTGTCTCCTGGCTGTGGACGCATCACAGAGACACGGTCGTAACCTTTCCGCAGCAAGACCCAGAGAGCATCCAATTTCCCCTGCAATCAAAAGAAACACAGTGTTACTCTGGTGCAGGGACCCTGCAGCTTTGACCTACACATCTTTTACTTAACCATTTCCTGTGCGTGTACAAGGTGCTGGAGAGCAACGTTTGCTCTCTCAGAAACTTGCTCCAAATTTGCCGCAAGCGTGAAGGACGAGGCCGTCAGATGAACAATAAGGTGTGCCTGACAGTCAGCAGCATCTTTGTGTAGCCTTCACGTACCCTTCTGAAAACCTCCAAAGGTAGAAGGTGACTCCTGGGCTGAGAGAGTCCAGCACCTACTCACTCCTGACATCATGGCTAGCAAAATGCTACGGTGATGTAGAAAGCAACCAGATGAGTTTGTACGATGCATTTCCTAGCTACCCTGCCTCCTTCTCTGGCTGGCTGAGGGGCTCGCTCTAGCTGTAGGCGACCCCTGCGACACGTTAGGAATCATTTTGATTTATGTGTCACAACAACCTGCTGGGGAGCACTGACTGAACAACTGCCTCTCCACACAGCCGGGCAGCTGAGTCACAGCTAGACGCCGCCTGACAACCCACCTCGTCTCTCCTGTCAGCTACACGCTAGCACAGGAGCGCCAGGTTACTGAGTCTCACACCACCTCCCCAGTCCCACCCCACGTGTCAGTTAGTACTTCCCTCTTTTCCAGGCAATAACACAGCTTTCAAAGCCCTCCACTCCTACGAGCTCAGTGTCAGCTGCCCTGCAGATGCACCCTCAACACACTACACGGGTTTGACAAGCTGTGCGCCTCACTGTGTGGTCTCGTACCCCACAGCCCTACCCAAACACGCATGCACACACCCAGACGAGTTGTTTTTTTTTTCTCAAAACCCAACGTGTTGAAGCCTCTTGTTGACAGGAATTTTGGTTAAGATGTGGGGTCAGACCCTCCCTTCCATTCCTGCAGTGCTCCTCCGCAATGCAGACAGAGCGTTCATCCCTTATTGAAATTCGGCAGCGACACATGATGCCAAGGCTGCAGTTGTTTTCCAAATGAGCTGAACAAGGCCAGAAGGAGCAGCCCAGGGCTCTGCAATGTAGAAATATCCACCGAATCATCTGCTCTGAAACAGGCTGAAGGATCCCGTGCTCTAGCACCATTCTAATAGCCCAGGGTTTCACCTTCAAAATGGATTCAGCTTCCTGGGGCTCTGCAGAAGGGTCTACAGGAGTGCAGCATGTTGCTGCTCGGTGGAAGGCTACAGGCACACTACAAGCTGAAAATTCATTTACCAAACTCCCTTCACCTTAACTTCAGTTGGCCCTTGGCCATTATGTGCACGATACCCAGAGATTTGTAAACATTTCTTGAGTAGGTTAACAACAGACAGTATTTTTGTAGCTTTCCATTAGTGTTGTTCCTGATGCTACAAATGCTATGAGATTAGGCACCATGAGTGAAATCCCCACCAGTAGTAACGAACTTCATTGTACCTGCAGAGACATAGACCAGCTACTCTGAGAATGTACAAGGTTGTCCCTTGGTACACAACTATTTCCTGCGGTTGGGAGGATCAGACTCCAAGACCTAGCTACCCCTGGCTGGACTCACATTCATGTACGATCACTACCTGGTTTCTGGAAATAAAGACAGCAGAATTGACTCGTACAACTATTGTGGGACAAAATTAAGCAAATGGAAATGTAAGCTGAATATTGCAGTGGTGGTGGGAAAAGAGTAAGTAGCTTCCCCAGCAGTGCGTTAGCTGACTCTCCCGAGAGCTTGGGTCTCATTGCTGATAGTAAACTTCCTGTCTGTGAAGGTGAGACCTGCCTGACAGCCAGGGTAGTTACAAGGCCCTGCTGTGACCTTGCTTCCCCGGTGTCTCATTAAAGACTCCATGCACTCAATGTATACCCCTCCTTTCATGGGGACAGTCTTCCTCTTCCCTTCTCAAGAAACCATTAGGGCCCTAATCCCCTTTGAGACCTTTATTCCTCAACCAGTGTGTAGAGCCAATGGCTCAAAGCTTATTTGGGAGTTGGAGGGATACACGGGTGGAGACAGACAGACACACAGAATGACTGCATAGATCTTGTTTCCATAGGATACTGGGGAAAAGAGGTGAAAGCCAGGAAAGTCTGTGATTCTCAAAGGAAGAAGCAAGAAACTCCTCCGTCAGACTCTTCTGCACATGGAGAACACACCCTCTTCCTCAGGGAAGCCATTCCTGTCCACCTCATTCCGTCTGTCCCTCTACATCAGAGCTGGTTGAAGCTCTTGATCTCCTGTCCCTTCTGACAACTCAACAAATACGTAACCTTTTCTTCCATTTCTCCTTCAGGAAACCAGAGGGAAAATTACAACTTTCCATGGAACAAAATAAAGCCCTTTTTACTCTGTAGTCCTAAGTTCCAAGAGCCCACCAAGATTTCTTGGGAAAAGCCAAGAGCTCCATCTTTGAGAGTCTGAATGGAGCTTCAAGGTCTGCCTCAGACTTCTGGGCAGAAAAGAGGGAGAGTGGATCATGGAAAGGATGATGTTGCTTGAAGAAATGAAAATGGCAATTTATTCACTTGGAAATATAAACACTTCTGTGGTCTCCAGTGGATGGGCTGTGTCTCTGTTTGGGAACTCTTTTGCAATTGAAGAACAAGGTCATTTGGAGAAAAAAACCCAATGGTCTGGAGGCAAATAAAGCTTTGAGTCCTACTAGATATGAAGTCCAGAAAGAAGAAACAATCAGAGCAGATGAGAAACGAAGGAGGGCATAGCTTCAGTCATTGCTTTAAAGCGAATGCATTCTCTTCCTGAATTAATGGTTAATTCAGCACGGTATCGACCCTGCTCTAGTGAATGACCTGAAACCTGAAGTACTCCCGAGACCCAGGATGTGGTGGTGTCAGAGGCACTTTTCTAAGCTCCCTACAAACCCAAGCTGCCCTTGGGCCCCTTCTCGCAAGGAAGCTGTGCCATGTCAGCAGTTTTGTAAAGAGAGACAGGAGACACAGGCCAGGCTCACATGGCTTAGCCAACACTTGAGTAGCCTCCACACAGGATTCACCTGAGGTTTCTTTTTGAGAGCACCAGTTGTTGCTTCAACACCAGCCTTGAGGCAGGTCTTCCATGTGAGCTTTTGGGGATGAAGAATTTAGCATTGCTGTGGGTCCTGACTGCACTGCTTGTTTCGAGACTCTCAGTGGTCCTTTGAAGTCAAACAAGTACTGTATATGCTCTGAGCAGGAGGACGAAAGGAGAGGTAGCTTGGTAGACCGGTAGATAAAAGCAGAGGTAGGACGAAAGCAGCTAACCAAACCAGAGCATACAGGGCTGTGTGGTTGGCTGTAGCAGCAAGAGTTATTTTGAACCAAATTAAAACAAAAGGCATGGTCCGTTATGATCCTTCACTTGCATCTATGTTTTGTGCTGCCTCTCCCTGTGTCAGATGAACCGAGGATTTGGCAAGTTCCTTAAGAAGCTTCCAGACTTGTCATTCTCCCTGGGTTGTTTGCACTGACCTTTCTAAAACACCATTTCAACAGTTTGAAGTGGGATAATCCAGTTGGCATCGTGCTAAGAAGTAACAGCAGCGAATAAGAATAATAACAATAACAACAATCTGTTAAGTGTCAGTAGCCACGTTTGGTAGCAAATAAATCCCTGGAGCGTTTCAAAAAGCAATCTATCTGCTCTCAGCTGTCTGACCACCTTAGAGATGTTACTCTGGGAAGAGTAACAGAGGGAAGACAAACTCCGTCGGCTAACCTGGCAGAAGGCAGAGCACTAAGTACAGGCTGGCACTTGTGCAGCATGGAGAAAAGGAGGCTTGTTGGCCAGCAAGAAGACTGGCCCTAAAATGGGAATTTCCTGGCTCTTTGTCAGATTCAAGCTGTTCCTCAGATTTAATTCCTTGTCCTACTCCTTTATCAAAGATTTTTTTTTTTTAAGTAGCTTGTTACATGCATATTTTTCTACCTTCCAAAGAGGTGCTTCAACCACCCTAGTGGAGCGGGTGGAAATTTAACATCTGCTTTAACCAAAGGAGTCGAGTGCACATGGAGCCTGGGGGTGAAGGACAATTTAAGCTGAGTATCAGGAGGCATTTCCTATGGGTGAGGTCTGTGAAATATTCCCCCCTGAGAAGTGGTGGGAACCTCCATGTTATTTTAAAAACCAGACTGGAAAAAGCAGGAAGGACAGACTCAAGTTAGCAGTCCTGCTTTGGCTGAAAGCACAGCCCCAGTGACCTAATAGGCTATTCCTGCTCACCGGCCCCGGCTGTTAGCACTCGGTGAGAGCTTCCCTGCATAACACAATGCCAATTCATCTTCGTGCGCTCCCATCTTCAGGGCAAGAGCTTCTGCCAAGAGTGCTGGTGAATTTTGCCAATTTTGATAATACTTTACTGCACAGGGAGAGTAATAGCAGGATCTCTGCTTCATAGGAATGATCCCCTCAACTCATGATTCTACGTGTGGAAAGAGTTGGATACAGTTATCCTGTCTGCATACGCTGTTCGTTTTGGGTGCTGTTCAATAAGGGGTGTGGTGGCAATTAATAATTAGGTAAATTCTTGTCCACAGACAGACTCAGGCTGCTAAATATTCTCCAGATGTGCAACACCCCAAAGTTATGAGAGTATTTGGATATGGGGTCTTGGATTGGAACTGTCCTTACTTGTATACAATTTGAATGGTAGATTAGAGATATTTTTAAAGGAATTAAGAATATATATCACCCATGAGATACTCCTAATATTTGTAGGCCCTGTATAACCAAATTCTTGCTGTTACAAAGCAAAAGCTGTTCCTAGTCCGTCAGAACTGAACTTGAACCCATCCCATACATTGACTCTCTGCTCCAAGCCTCTCTTGAACTTTGGAGACTTTCTGTCTGGGACACAGATCTGCAAACTTGACTCCTCTGTTCACAACTGATTTCCTACCGTGCCGAAGAAACTCAGAATTAACTGAAAGCCTCCCGAGGCTGTAATCCAACAGCGGGAACTGGCGAAGGAAGAGAGGAGAAACTCAGCGTTATCTTCTACGGGAAAGGACCCAACTCTCAACTAATGGTCTCAGGTAGTTGTGCCCACATGGATTCCGGTTGCCTGAGCATGTATTCAGGGCTCTTTGTGCTAGAATTGGTGTTTCTGTCAGCTCCTCGGTGGTTAGAGTACAGCTTTGTGTGCTGTGAACCCTTCTGACTGCAGCACGCACACAGCGACTGAGCTGCGTCTCTCAGCGGGATGAGGTCATTTCCTTGAGCAAAAAATCTCCCAGGTGGGAGGAGTGTATTTTACAAATGGTTTGCACTGATGCAGAATGGCAGCGCAATGCCTTTAGGAACAAAGGAGCAGCTATATGGGATGGTACTTACTGCATTCCCCACTCTGAACTGAACACAGCTGACTCTCTAACCTGTCCCACTGTGGGAAGGAATAACCTTCGTGAACACATGCTGGAGTCATTATAACACAACTGCAAATGTCCTGTTGGTAGGGTCAGTTTATTAGATGACAATCTTTACGGGGGAAAAGAGAGAAGGCATTGGACCAAATTTTCAGAGTCTCACATTTCCGTATCCTCCGGAAACCACTAACTCCCTTGTGCATCCTTGCCATTCCCATCACTGGATCCGAACCAGCTGCAAGATCAATGGCTGAGGAAAGCCAAAACACATGCCTCCCCTAATTCCCATGGGCACTGCTTGGAGCTGCTCAGTAACAAGGTACAACGCAGGGAAACCTGGGTGTACTGCAGTGTAATATATCTGCATTGCAATAACCTGGCTAGTAGAACGTCTGACTAGACTGACTGCACCTGGGGAGGAAGAAAACAGAATAAACCCTCTAATTTCCAGCAGTGAGGCACTTCCCTGTTCCCCAGCATAAAGTTTTAGGCAAGCTCTACACACCAGAAGGTTTACTAGATATGTTACAAACACCCTCTTCACAGAGAAGTTGCCTGCACAGGGTTTCTAAGGCCCTAACCAGCATCTCCACGCTTCAAAAGGAGATCCAAGCTCCAGTGGCGCAAGGTTTGCACTTGGATACAAATTAGGCATTTTCAGTCTTTTTTGAGACTGATAACTACTGCTACACACAGCCTCCGACTGAAAAGAGACGAGAAGGGTATTCCCAAGACGGTTAAACCTGAGAAATCGGAGTGCAGGATTGTGGTTTTTTCTTTTCATTAGTGTAGTTCTACAGTGGTTAAGCTGTCCTACTTTCCTGAGGGCAGCTGAATTTGTCCTGAATGCAAAAGATGAGCTTTCTGACATTGGAGTGCCCTCATACCACGCCCTGGATGATGCAACTAATACCTGGTTTGTGCGGTTTGTTTCTCGTAATCCATGAGAAGCATTCACATGTAGAACAAAGGGGTTTGCTTCAGTGAAAATTCGGTTGCTTGCTTCTTTCCGTTTCGTACACTGCCAACTGTTTGTGTTAGTGAAGACAAACTGAAGAGCAGCTGCCTGCCCTTGGGACAGATGGCAGAGAAGGAGTCTTCCCAGTTCCTGCGGGTGACTGTTGTGCAGCTTTGCATGGCATGTGACCTGATATCAGTGAGTATTTGACCTTCCGCGTCTGAGGGACTCTAACTCAGCCAAACACGTCTTGCAGGGCATCCCCTCCTTGGGAGGCAAGCACGCTGCCCTGCAGCAAGCCTGGCCCCGTGACCCGTGCCTGCTGGCAGACATCCATCTGCACTGCCATCCTTCATCTGCTGAGCACAACTCTTCCTGGTCACATTTTGCAGCAATTTTCTTCCTATTTTTTCCCCTCTTTCTAAGGAAAGAGGGTGCTATTTATTCCCTACATCCCAGGGAATATGCAGTGTGGCCCAAGGGACCTGCCCTTGCAAGTGCAGTTGAGTCTATAAGCACCTTACAGAAGCCAGCTACACCACTGGAAGAGATCAGGATCCTGCTCTGGTCTAAGAACGCAATGCAGCCCCAAGACCTGATCAACCTGGTGGGAAATTCCCATTGCTCCATGTGGCCCCTCTCCACAGCACCTCCCTAGGCATGTGTTCAGTGGGACATTCTCATGCACAGCTCCTCTAGCAGCACCTTGAGGTCATGGTGGACAGTTCTACATCCTAGCTTTGGATGTGAAACACAACACTGATCTCCTGGAAACATCCTACGCAGTACAACGCTGGGCTGGACTTACCTTGATTGGAGAGTACCACTTCCGAGGAGAGGAAGGCCTGCGCATGTTGTTCGCAAGGTTCCTGGGTTCAGGGAACTCGTATTCCTGTTCTGGCATCTTGACTCTGGCATTCTTGGCTTTCTCTAGCTTAGCACCTTCCTCTGTGGAGCCCTTTTCCCCCCAGCGCACCTGCAAAGATGGCATCAGGGCATATTACAATAGTAGCTGCTGCAGTTACATCCCTGCTGTAATAGCTAGATCCTGGTCCGTGTTTTCCCAGGGTCCAAACCCTAAGGGAAGAGCGAGCCACAGGCTGTGAAACTTGTTTCTAGACTAGAGCCCAAACTTTGAACTTCTTTGTTATTTATGAGAAACATGAGAGCAGGGAAGGTTCTCAGAAAAACTAAAAACATTTCCTTGTAATTTTTGTATGGCAACACTGCCCCTCGATCCCAGGCACGGACCAGGATCTTACTCTACTAGGAGAAAAAAATAGTCCCAAACTTAAGGGATCTATGTTTGGCTCATAGATATTCCTACATAAAAACCATCTGGGCTCAGATGGACAAAAAAGGTTTAAGTTTGTCTCTCGGGAGTTTCTTTCTGGGTAAGCTGCAGGGGGATATTACAGCTCACTTCACAAATAAGATCTTCCAAATAATGAACTTGTTCCTAATTACCTCCATTCGTTTGATGCCACCAACTCCTCGTCCACCATAATAAGAGGCATCTACTGTTGGCCATTTCTTCTTTGGAAGGCCATCATCATCTTCCTCCTACAAAACAGAAGGAAGGGGTTGTACTTTTAGGAAGCACAACCTGAGATGGAAGGGAATAAACAGCTGCAGGCTATTGGGGTCCTGTGAGCCTGCTAAAGCCAGTGCAGTCCAGGTTCTGGTGTCTCACTGGTTATTTTCCAGAGGATGCACATTCATGAAAAGAAAATGTTGCATGATACAAACACCACCACCACTTGAAAGGTATACTCCAGCTCCAGCAAGAATGTGATGATTTTTTTTTTTTAAGGAGACTGTCTTTCATCATTTTTAAATTCAGGGAAGTAAATTGTTTCCAAATTGCAAAATCATTGAAGAAACACCGAAACAGTACTCCGAATAGCTCAAGAACTGAGGTCTTTGGTGTGCAAGTCTGGCTGACATGAGTGATGGTGGCAGGGACTTACCTATTTGCCATCCCTTCACTTATGTCTGTGATTTTATCATAGACTCACAGACTGGTTTGGGTTGGAAGGGACCTTAAAGTCCCCCCAGTCGCACCCCCTGCCAGGGGAAGGGACACCTTGCACTAGACCAGGTTGCTCCAAGCCTCATCCAGCCTGGCCTTGGACACTTCCAGGGATGGGGCATCCATAGCTTCTCTGGGCAACCTGTCCCAGTGCTCCCACCCTCTCTGTGAACTTCTTCCTGATATCCAATCTAAACCTCCCCACTTTCAATTTAAACCTGTTACCCCCTGTCCTGTCACTACAGGCCCTTGTAAAAAGTTCCCCCCAGCCTTCTCTTCTCCAGGCTGAACAAGCCCAACTCTCCCAGCCTGTCCCC